TTCAGATTCCTGTGGTGACCATGTGAGCTAGAGTTTAAATTACAGTTAACATATTACCTTCTCTACTTGTTTTCTTCTTTTTTTCTAGCCTTCTGATAAATGCTTGCACACATTTCAGATTCCTGTGGTGACCATGTGAGCTAGAGTTTAAATTACAGTTAACATATTACCTTCTCTACTTGTTTTCTTCTTTTTTTCTAGCCTTCTGATAAATGCTTGCACACATTTCAGATTCCTGTGGTGATCATGTGAGCTAGAGTTTAAATTACAGTTAACCTATTACCTTCTCTACTTGTTTTCTTCTTTTTTTACTAGCCTTCTGATGAATGCTTGCACACATTTCAGATTCCTGTGGTGACCATGTGAGCTAGAGTTTAAATTACAGTTAACCTATTACCTTCTCTACTTGTTTTCTTCTTTTTTACTAGCCTTCTGATGAATGCTTGGTGTGGGAATCTGAAATGTTTTTTAGGTTTTCATTTATTTATTTATCTCAGAAAGTAGTTTTTTATTTTATTTTTATTCTTATTTATCTTTTTTATTCCAGCTGTTGCAAGTCATTGTACATTTCATTCTGTGTATTAGATCCATGAACCTCTTGTTTTTGCAAAGATCAGATAATTGTTTGAATGTGCAACCTTGGATTACCACATACATTTTAATTGAATACATTTCCCCCTGCATTCTTCATCATAGCAAAATATCTGTAATTAGCAGTTTCACTGTTCTGAAAGATGAAATCACTGATAAGGATTGGAATGTTAGCAGGTCTTACCCTGGAAATTAAACTCAAAATTGGAGACTAATCTTTTAGTGAATTTCTTAGTTTTTCACTTATATTTTAAGAAAATGTTTTTTCTGCAATCACTTTGTGGTTGCTTAAAAACAGATCTTTTTGTCTACCAGCTCAAACTGTGAATTAATGTGAAAATGTTTATTTTGATATATATATTTTTTCAGACATTATTGAAATTGTTAGATGCTTGGGGAGCTGGAAGTGCACTTCGACACAGATCATATAGTCAACAGTTTTACCTTACCAGAGCTTTGATGATATGCACAGCACATTTGGGTGGATTAGATTTTAGTCTATATAAACAAGGTAAACAGATACTTCTAATTAAGAATGAAAACACTTGATTAGAATTAAATTGATCAGTATAATGTTTTCATCCTTCAGGCAAAGCATGATTTTTATAGCCTTCAATTTTATTGAGTTACAGAACCATAAACTAGAAAATCAAACCCCTCTTGCCACACCTACCTGTCACATCTCCTCTTTCATCAATTACAAATAGTTCTGTCTGGCATTTAATATATATTACATTGTTTTCTGTACAGAGAATGACAATTTCACTTCCAGTTTAAACTTTATTCCCAAAGGAAATGCATTGACTAGCTTAGTTGAATTTTTAATAGCTGTTGTTGCATAGTTAGTTTTGATGTTAAGTTTATTTGTATACATTGATAATAAAGTAGTTTAGTTAAGTTTTGAATGTAACTCTGTAAAAGGTTGTGACATGTGTACTTTGACCTACTTGATGCAAAATGTTTAATGCTCCTTTCTAGAGGAGTAGTTGGATAGATTACTAAGATGTTTAGCATAAACAAAATTGTGTCAGTTGTCACAGACAAATTTTAATTTCTGGTTTAAGACAACACATTGCCTTTATACTTTAAATGTGCATACACATAATATAAAAAGACTACCAGAATTTTGTGTAATGACAAGGGCAAACTTTCAGTTTCTTCAATATAGGTTGATAATAGAAGAATTAGGGACATACCCAGTTTATGTTCTTTGTGTAAACCATTTCGTTCCTCAGGGCTAAAGTTTTATATATCAGTTAAAAATATATCTATTAATTAAGCACTCTTTTTAATGAATTGTCAATAGTGTAATGTTCAACAATATACTTTACTTACACATGAATGCATTGAACTATTTAAAATTATTATGATATTGTAAATCAGTCTTAGGCATATTATTATTTGTTACACTTGAGAATTTGTATATGGCACTACCAAATAATTTATAAGTGAAACATTTAGTAAATACAACAGTTTTTCTTGAAGTGTTATGATAACTTTCATACTGTTTATTATAATCCATCCTACTAACTAGCACAGCTTGAATTTTTAGTTCAAATACTGCAGTTAGAAAGTGTACTTCTTTTTATGCATGCTTTGCTATACTATGGCATTTCTGATACAGTACATTACCTCCTGTCATATAAATAGCTTTTCTCCATCAGTGTTGCCCTTTATATGCAAAATTTTTTTGCCATGCCACAAGCCTTCGGCTCCCACATATCCCACAATCCACGTGGTTCAACTGTGTCTCGTATGTAAATCATCATGGGACAACCCTCCACCAATAGGAGTGCAGCACAGCCTCATGATGTACGTGACTTCCTCTATTCGACTCTACTGAACTATCACTTTTCTTCTGGCAATGCTATCATCAAGACGTTTTTTGTTTGCGCTCTCTTTTCGAGTTTTTCTTTTTTTTTCGTTTTACATGATACTTACCTTTATTGTTCAGAAATGTTATCATTTACTTCCAGCACATTTACCCAGGCTTCAGGTAGCAGAACTCAACTGAGGAATTGTCAGCTTTACTACATTGGGAGATTGATCATTATATGAGTTCGAGTTCAGGGGGACACATATTTGGAGTACAGTCCACTGACTTTGTACAGAAAAACTGTTATACTGTTACAGCTTTTTGAATATTTTTGATATTAATATTATTGTTTGTAGTTATTTGATTTCAATGACATACATTTAGTTAGATTTGTACCTACTTCTTGTAAGGTTTGGGTTTTTAGATTAACGTTAAATGATATCCTTTGTACTACAGCATTAGATTAGGCTTAATATGTCTTTTGGTAATTTTAGGCTTACCTGTCATTCATCTTATTAGTAAATTGTAAATTAGGTTAAATATATAGCTTGTTCAACAAATAACATCTACTAAATTTTTTATTGACAAAGACACATCCTTAATTTTAAAATATAATGACTTTTTCATTTGGATAATTAATTTTATTTTATACTTCTTACAATTAATTTTGTGGAACCCTAGATATGGGGTCTGCTCAACGTTCTCCCAATATGGCTCGTCTTCCTCCTCAAACTGCCTTGAACTTGTTAGGGGTGACATCTGTCTTTACAATTTCCTCCACCTGATTAGGAATTGGCCTTCCAAGCCCTGTACTGCTAGGCCTACTTCAGCCCTTTTTATACACATTTCACAGTTGTTGTTTTTTTTTCTTCCATATTTTTCCAGACATTTTGATTCTTGCTGGGCCTTTTAATCTCTCTTTTGAGAGATGGTGCTGGCATGCCTTGCCCTTCATGGAATTTAGTTTATTTTCCCTTAGCTTACCATCAGGCAGATTGTTTTTTGTTTTCTTGCTTCTCTGCACTTCGATTCTCTGCTACCTATATGGGGGCCAGAATCTGTTAATCCTATTCATTTATCCATAGCCAAATTTTCCATTGTTTGTCTTCCCCTATCACCTTTCCTGCTGGTAGTGGCTGCCACACCCCTCCTTACTTAGGCATTTCACCTAAGTCTTGAAGATTTTTCTTGAGATATCTTCCTCCTCCTTACCTCTATTTTGGGGTGATTCCCATCTTTGGCTCTTTCCTTACATAAATGGCATTTTTGCTTTTGGGATCTTCTGGGTGGGACACTATCTTGTACAAAGTTTGTTTCCCTTCTACTTGTAATTGGGACTTACAGACGGCCTTTTTTCTCCACAGGCATGTTTTTATGGGGTGGGGGGTGGTGTTTCTCCTGTGACTTAAGTATCATGTGAGGTATTTGTATTGCTACATTCAATTTTTCTTTTTTTGGTTGTTCGTTTGTCTCTTTGGGCTTTGCATTCTTTATTCATATGTCATGTCCAGCACCTTCCCGTCATTTCCCCGTCCTGCATCTAAGAGTTCCACCATTAGTCATGTATTTTGAAGGCAGATTGAAGTTCTCTGATCAATATGTCCCACTTCAATCACTTCTTGATTCTTTTCTTTTTTAGTATATTGTCTTTTATCACACTGGTGAGTCATTTCTCCAGGACTGAGGATACCTATGGTCGATGTTTTATATTCTTATGACCATAATTCTTTTTTTTCAACACTTATGGGGCTGTCTTAAGGTTTCTTCACCATGGGGTTGGATACCAGTTTCATTCCTTGCCCTTTGAGCTTGTTTCGGAGCTGTATGTATTTGTCTCCGGTTTCTCATCCACTTGCCTTGGCTGTTGTTGTGTTCAGACAGGCTTGGGATTTGTTTATTTGTTTATTTTCTCATCCCATTCATCATCTTCCCTGGGTGATTTTGTTCATCCTTGCCAATCTGTGTCAGGTTTTTCTGATTGCTCCTTCCTGGCCGACACAAATCTGGTTTGTATAGCAGAGAGACAGCTGGTATGGGTATTTAAAAACGTTAATTAAAATATAATACAAGAACAATGTTTCAACCTTCTTAGGTCTTCTTTAGGTTAACAAAGACAGTTTGAAACTGACTGTTAATGGGTAAATGTCTTGGGGACAAGACTGTGAATGGATACAAGATTGTAGGGGGCGTAGCAGTCAGTAGGTGATTAATTAATATAGGTATAAAGGTGTTCCTTTATGGTGGTTCAATTTTGGTTTGAGTTTTTGTATAAGTAGGGCTTCTTTGATTTTGCATTTATTTGTCTTTGTTTCTCTACTTAATATGTTGGTGTTTTCTATGGTTATGTTGTGCTTATTAGATTTGCAATGTTCAAAAACGTGGGAAGGTGTTTTTTCTGTTCATTGAATCTAGTTTCCATTTTTTTGGCTTGTTTCTCCAATGTTCTGTTTTGTTGTTTTTCCAAATGTTGGTTATTTTATTGCTAATTTAGGGAATATACAGTATGCAGCATTGCAGGGTTGTATAGTGAGTTGTTTCATTGAACTTATTATTATTTATTTGCTATTGATTGTGCTCTTGGCCTAGGTGTGTGTGTGTGTAAAATTTTTTGACTGTTTGTGATGGAAATTTATTGACATTGATAAAGTGTTGTTTTAATTGTTTGATTTGATTGTAAATTTTCAATATATGGTTTTTGTGGTCTCCTTTTGCACTGTCTTCAGTGTTGACATTCCTCTGGACTCTCCACTGCATTTTCTCACCCCTTTTTTTCTTCCAGTGAAGTCTGGGAGTACTAACCACTTTCCAGTTCCGAGCCACTGGGGTGGTGGACCACGGAGGCATCCTCCTGAATGTGATATCGATATATGATACAAATAGTAATGAATCCATTCAGTTGAGAGTAGGGTGGTCCTATTCTGCTGGTGAAGATGATGAGGTGTCCTCTAATCTGACACTCCATATTTGAATGGGTCTGTCCAAGAGGATGTTGTAGCTTTGGAGTGAGCTATCCAAATTGCAGTTCAACCCTTCAATTGGGATCACCCATCCTACCCTCACATGGATGTCGGTTCTCAGTGGCTGGGTTTTAGATTCAGAGCAGGACCAATCATCATAAGTCCTCACACATGTATTATAAGTGTGTCTGTTCCCTCACTCAGATGGACTCGAGTTCACTTTTACTGTGTTGTGTGTGGGTCAGGGTGGAGGGGCTGTTGCTACTGCAGACAAAATACCAGTACTAGAGTGTCTCAATCTGATATTTACTCATTTGCTTGAATATTCATGCTAAATCAAAATTTCTATGAGCTGCTTCTTCTGACTGGGTGATTGATGGATAGCCGACCAATCTTAAATCTTAGAATTGAAAAATAAAAGTAGCTGGACAGGCAAAAGCTCGTGCATAAACATATGTAATATTCCATATTTTCCTATTAAAAGGTTCATTTTGTAAATTATTGGTTAGTGTTTTGTCCAAGTGGAAGCTTATTTGTACAGTAATTGCCTCAGTATTTCACAAAATATTTAGCTTGTATGTTAACTGGTTTGTAATTTTGATCATTGGAATATTATTTAAATAGGCAAAAGTTCAATGTTTAGTGCTCATTCTGTCAGTAAACAATGTGAATATTCAGCAACCCCAAATGGCATAGAATGTACCAGAGAGCACATAGACCCTGCTCCTTTATGGGCTAGAATCCAGGTCCTACTAAAAGCTTTATTTTCTGTTCTCATTGCATAACATAAGCTAAATAACCAGGTTAGTGACCCAAATGGTTTAGACATAGCCAACTTTTATTTTGAACTAATAACTAGTGGGAATTCAAACCACCACCATAGAGGCTTTGATCTGAATAACAGAATTAACTAACACTATTATAACTCACTCACATTAAGAAATGTTGGAAAACTTTGACAAAAGGTGATTTTCACTGTTACTGTAATTTCAAAGTTGTGTTCACCATAGTCTGATACTTTTACATGTCAACTGAATTAACTTAAGTAAATTAAATCAGTTAAAGCACTTTTAACAAAATCATTAGCCAAGGAGTAACTCAGTTGTGAATGTAATCTATGATTGATTCCATATCTGTATAAGTTAACGAAACAAATGAATAACCTTTTCATGCTATAATTATAACACAACACTTTAGTAAAACACTATTTCATAGGGTTTTTATATTAATATACAATGTGCATTGAAAACAATTCTCCCTATTAGAAGATATGTTGATGAATGTATTCACCTTTATGCACAGGTATACAAACCTGTCGATAATGTTCATGAAGTTTGCATGTTATATAAATAAAATATGCAAAATGACATTCACAAGTAGGCTGTGCATTTTAAGAAACTTTAACTAGGCAGTAATGTATATTGCATAAAAGTACCAGTATTATTTTACATTAACACATTTGGAGAAAACTTTGCTTAAAGTTACATACATGTATAGTTTGTGTATTGCATTAGTGTTTTATAAGTGATTATTATCATAATACAATTTTCTTTCAAAATTGCAATTAAGAGCATTAATAAAGTATTTTCAAAAAATTTTTTAATGTTCTTTATGAATAGAACTTTTGACTAAACTGCTACATGGAGTAGAAATCCATATTGGAAGTCCAGACAACTCAGTTCGCACCTTAGGAATGGTTGTAGGTGAAAACATTTCTAAAGTTTTGGATCCAGAAGGCCCCAAGCTTGTGTTTGAGGTAAATGCTTTTTGGCACTGTTCATATATTTGTTGTCACTGATGATCCTAGTTAAATGTTTATTTTCTAGCTTCTAGAGTATCTTACACCATAACATTATGTATTGTCAATTATGCTTATCAGTACCTTTTTTTTTTACTTAAGCTATTTATTTGTAGGAGAGAAAGAAAGAAAGGTTAGTAACATCAGTGTCAATATTTTAATATATCTTATTTTTACATCTTAAGTAATATCTTTAGAAGGAAAATGATATTCCAAAACATACTTACCTCTGCTGACATTATAGCTATTTCTCCATCTCCAGGGTTTCCACTCTTTGCCCATCTAAGCATTTAAAATGCTTGCTCCAGTCTTTTATATCCCACTCGAATGCAAAACTCTCCACCAACTTTGATGTGCCCTCTATATAGGTACTGTATATAAGCACCTCATTCAATTAATGAAATCACTTTTTTTCGACAAAACATTTGACGAGGGTTTTGATAAACAGAAGAGTTGTGATTATTCTTAATTTACGTTGCAACTCTGAACTTGGTTACCACGGTTATATCTTCGTTTATATCTATAAATTACTTTAACAAACAAACAAAAAAACCAATGAGTATGAATTCCTGAGTTAATATTTTTACTACGAAGGCCAACCAGATCTCTTCTCTTCCACCTCTACTATCTGGTGTTTGTCAATGGCTAGGGGAGGGGTCACTGTCAGTCGAAACTGTTTGTGATATTATCTGTTGCGAGATGGAGACATATATGAGGACTGAGGGTGTCTCTCTGGGAGGTTCTGAGGTGGCTTTTGCATATGACCCGGGATCAGCTGGGGAGAATTTAGACTCCCTTTTTCCAACTCCTTTTACTAGGTTGACCTCAACAGAGGATCATCTTGATCAGCCATATCCAGCCCCTTTTCTTCAGTTAGTTATTTGGGTTTGTGTGGTTTTGGGGGTCTCTTCTATTGTATTTGGCTCCACTCCTTCCTTGTTGGCAGAAAGGATGGCAAGAGTCTACTTGGTTTTCCTCCTTCTTCTGATATTGCTGTTTATGCGGGGAGATTTGCTGCTCAGTTACACGATGGGATAGCTATGCCTTGTCCCCATCACGTTTTTCAAAACAACATGCTTTGGCTTATCACCACCAGGAGGAGGTATATTTAGATTCCCAACAGACGGACCCCCTTTTGGACCTGTGGGGGTCTAGATTGGAACCTGTGATCACATTAAACAGATCAGTTTTCTCGGATTTGTCTTACTCTCACGACTGTCCTGAGGTATTTATCTTTTATCCAACTTTTGTCAGAAGTCTATCAATATTCCCCTCAGCAATTTGATGATGAGTTGGGGATTTAGCTGACGTCTACCTTAGTCAGATTGATTTCTTCAGTTTTTTCTCTGGTTTCTTGGCTGGTTTGTTTTGGGGATTTATTGGGTAGAGATGTTTTGTATGATATGTTCCTTTAGCATCTTCTGCCCTCAGGGAGTTATAAGGAGCTGCTTTTCTCTGTCCCATGTTGTTAGCTGGAGTTCCAGTGACGTTAGAATCACGAATTGATTCAGCTCATTTACATTCTTCTTTATCATCATTGGCTTCTTGCCTTTCTGGTGCTAATTTGGAAGTGTGGGCTCGTAGTGTTTCCTGATCCCCTCCTTCATTTCATAGGTCTATTGGTTTCCATAATAGAGTCTGTCCATATCCTCAAGGATCTTCGGCTCAGACAGACCATCAATAACAGTGTCTGTAACTAGCCCGTGGGCGAGGGAGAAGTGTGAGCTTGATTACATCACTTTCTGGACATCTGGGATTCTTTCACCAAGGATCCATGGGTACTCCATGTTCTGGCTTCAGGGTTCATCATTCACCTCCATCATTATCTGCACAACTGGTTTCCTTTTCACCTCCATCAGATCCACAGTGAGTGGAAATTCACTCCCAGGCCATAAGAAAGTTGTTAGTCAAAAGGGCAGTAGAGAGGGGTTGATCCTATTCTTCCAGGATTTTATTCTCGTTTACTTGTTTTACCCAAGAAGACAGGAGATTGGCTTCTAATTATTGATCTGTCTCGACTCAACCAATTTTTATATATCCTCCTTGCTTTACAATGGAATCTTTTCTCAACCTATGATGGCACTTTGTGCCACAGCTTTGGATGATCAAGTTTGATGTTAACAATTCTTATCTCCATATTCCTATAGTGGAATCTTCCCGGAGGTTTCTCAGATTTGTGCACAAGGGTCAGGTGCTGCAGTTCAGAGCTCTACCTTTTGGTCTTGCATCAGAACTGTATGTCTTCTGCAGAGTTTTTCAAGCTTTTTCTTCTATCTGCATTCCTTGGGCCTGTGCACACATCATTATATGGAAGACTGGCTCCTTCTGGCACCCTCCCATCAATTAGCAGAACAACATTCTCAGATTCTCCTTTAAGAAGCCACAAAAGTGGTACTCGAGAAATATATTCTGTCACTGACAAAATATGTGGAGTCTAACCTCCACATCAGTGTTCTAGAACTCCTTGGTGCCTTGGCAATGGTTGTAGGTCAGTCTCTTTTGAAGGGAAAAATTGTCAGGATACATTCTGACAATTCCATGGTGGTATCTCAGATTTCTCATCAAGGAGGTGCACATTCTCGAGACCTTTGTTTTCATACCTTGGATCTTCTCTACTGGGCTCATTCCCATTTTATCAGTCTTTTAGCATGTCATGTTCCAGGAGTGATGAATTTAATTGCAGATCGCTTGGCTTGACATAACTGGATTTATCTGATGGAGTGGATGTTACATCACAAGGTTTTTCAGTGGATTTGTTCTAATTTTGGATCTCCAACAATCGATGCTTTTGCAACTCATTGGAATTCTCAACTACAGTTGTTTGGTCTCCATTATCTCATCTTCAAGTATTTGCAGTAGATGCATTCAGCAGGACTAGACAGGTTTACATCTGTATGCCTTTCCCCAGTTCGGCTATTGCCCTGGGTTCTGACTATGGCTCATTCCACTCCCTGTCGAGTTCTCTTGGTTGCACCATATTTCCTAGCTCAAACATGGTATCTGCAGGAATGTCTACCTCTACCCCTTTCACATTGGCCATCTCTGTTGAGACAACCTCAATCAGACATTCTCCACCCAGATGTTCAGAAACTCAATCTTCATGCTTGGAAGTTATCTGGCCCTTTGCACAACATAAGGGCTTAACTTCTAAGATTTCTATGCACTTAACTAACTCTCTCCATAGGCCAACTATGGCCATTTATCAACAGAAGTTGAATACTTGTCATCAGTTGTGTATTAAAAGGAATTTCAGCCCTCTTCATCCTTAAATATTTACCATATCCTGTTTTATGACTTGGGTATTTGAGAAGGGTCTTGCTTCATCTGTGGTGGCTTTACATAAAGCATCCTTATCCACTATTTTTCCGTATTCCAAATATCAGAAGGTTTTGAATCCTCAGTACTGTCAGGTCTACTGAAATTCTTTTGTATTCTTTAACCCAAACGACTTTTTCAATTGCCAAATTGGGATTTTACAGTTGTCTCATCCTCCCTTTGAGCCCTTAGTTTTGTGTTCTTTGTTTCACATTCTCTTAAATTGTATTCTTCATTGATGTTGGCTTGTGGATGTCGTCTGTTGGAGTTGTTTGCAATCCATGTGCATCAGACTCTTTATCATTCCACGTTTGTCCTGCTTTACCCTGATAGGTCTTTTCTTCCCAAGACTCTGGCAGCCAGGTAGGGGGAAAGATCCTTTTCATCAATCCATTTGCCAGCCATTACTCACCTTTATGACCACTCTGATCTTGATTGTTTGTTATGTCCTGTTATGTGGCTCATACTAACTCATTTCTAGGTAGTAAGAATCAACTGTTCATTATTGGAATTCTTCTATTTCCCATGATTTATCTCCCATTACCCTAACGAGGTGGCTCCATAAATTGATTCACCTGGCCTATAATGGATTATCGTTACAGGAGAGGAATCTTTTGCATGTCACATCTCACCAGATTGGTCATATCTCTATGTCATTAGCCACCCAGTTGAATTGTCTTCTGAAAGACATTGTGCAGGCTGGTATGCAGACTACTCCTAGTACTTTCCTATCTCATTACTTACATGATCTGGCAATTTCCTCTTCTGAGGGTTTCTGACTACCCCTGTAGCTATTTTGACCACATCTGTTAGATTTTTACCAGAGGTGAGTATTTTCCTCAATCATATACTCTTTTATTTCCAGAGACCTTTTATTTTTCACTGGTTCCCACTCTGTGACAAGTGTTGCCCAGGCAGCTCTTTTCAGTTCTGCACTAGCAACCACTTTCACTATAATTATTACAGGTTCCAATAGGCTCTGTTGAAATGGGGTGTTCCATAAGACTATCTAGACACCTACCGGATGGTATTACCTTATTATTATGGATCACCAATCATGGACTATCCTGAGTAAAGCTAAAAGGGATCCTGCCCATCCCTGCCAATCTTTAGGTTGAATAAATAGGGTTTGGTTTGATTTTAAAAATGTAGGGACCTTGGCTCAACTTTTGCACAGTTTCCAGAGCACTGTTCCTCAGGACTCCTCAATGCATATTACCCGCTCCCACAGACTCTATTATTGGAGCTCGGGAGTCCCTACCCCCGAGACAGAGGAATGTCTTCAAATGTCTTCCTCCACTCTTGGAGAAGAGGGCAAAGTTGGGGGCCCTCCTACTCGGGTCCCTGGATGTTTTTTCGAGATGTCATTAAGAGTGGCACCAATCTCTATGGGAGCCTACTTGTATTTCAGGTTTAGATTTGACACAAAATTATCCTTTTGGGGGGGGTGCATGGCCCTTGTTTTTGATCAATGTCAGTTTCGTATGTTGTTCATAGAAGGAGGTCCACTATCTCTTCATAATTCTGTACACGAAGTTGTCCCATCCTAGGTCCTTGGTTGAACATGGGTTCCATGTCCTCTATAATTCCAGGGGCAAGAAGAATACTCCTTGCTCACTTAGTTGAGGAGTGAGGATGAATGTTCATAATTACAGACCAGATGAGTTCTGTTCCTTTGGTTGAGTAATGCGTACATGATCCTGTCATTCCAAGCCTGGGGTGTTGCCTTTTGGCTTCTTCAGGTGGAGGGGAAAGTGTTGCTTACGTTCTTGTCATGATTCCGGTGGCTACAGGTTGCAATCCAATCAAAAGTATATATATATATATATAACATTGCAGTCCAATAGCCCTAGCCACCAACGTGGGATATAGGTACCACGACCCCTTAATTTCAACCCTAAGTTGTGGAACCTTGGCTATCTGGTTGAGGCTGGCCTATACTGATGATTACTTATATTCTATTCCACCTTTGATATAGGAACTGAGTTCCCAGTGAAGAGCACATCTGTGCTGGATGAAGTGCGGTTCTCCCACTCTTTTACCATCTTTATCTTGGTACACTCCTGTTCCATACAGACACTTTCTGTATGGTTCATGCCTGCACTGGCCCCTCCTCCTTTTCAATGTGGGATTCTAGCTATAGTGTCAGCAGAGGTAAGTATGTTTTGAAAGTTAACATTTTTCTAAGCTAAAAATGTATTTCCAGTAATACTTACCTCCACTGACACTCTCCCACCCTACCTCCCCATTAAAACCCAGTTTATGTCTTGAAAAAGTGATTACATTATCTGAATGAGGTGCTTATATACAGTACCTAGATACAGGGCACATTGAAGTTAGTGGAGAATTTTGCAAATTAGAATTTGCCAAGGGCATTTGAGTGGGGTATAAAAGACTGGAGCAAGCATTCTCAGTGCTTAGATGGGCAAAGAGTAGAAACCCTGGAGATAAAGAAATAGCTGTAGTGTCAGCAGAGGTAAGTACTATTGGAAATACATTTTCAGTTCAGGAAAATGTTAACTTCAAAGGGTTTATTATTTGAATAAAGACTAAACTCCAAAGTATTAGCATTTGTTATTATCTGTCTAATAGGTAAACTGTGTTTTGGTAAATTTATTAGTAACTTTCTTACCTGATCCTACATAAGTGAGCTATAAAAAGCTTATTACATTGAATTTAAAATATTAATCTGTTTCTTGATTAATTTACAGTTTTTGAAATAAATACGTTGAGAAGCTACAAAAGTGTTAATCAAAGTTTTGTCTGATGTATTTTGTACCAGTATCAAATGTTCAGTATGAAATATCTGCTTTTAGTCATGATGGTTTAGAAGAATTGTAGTTTCAAGCCATTCCTCTGTTTAAGCTAACATCCATTAACACCAGATTTTTTTTTTATTCAACCTTGCCATGTTAGTGAGCTAATTTTTGTTGTATGCAAAATTTGCTGTAGATACTACAGTTTTAAATGAGTTTATAACGATAACATTTTTCTTTATATCTTTTTTTGGTTTCCAGTTTTATGTATGACTTGTACTCTGACCGTTCTCAAAACATGCTGGTATTTATTGTATTTTATTTGAAAAACATAGCTTATTACTGAGATAATGTCATTTTAAAGTAATACAATATTATATTAATTTTTGCGTTTTTTCAGTATGAAGTAACCAATGATTCTAAACATTTGAAGTCATTACTTAAGCTTGAAGAAAACTCTTTGGATATTACAAGCTGGTAAGACCTAATTAACTAATTATACTTATTTAATTTAAATTTTCTGTATATTTAGTTTGAATTGTTTGAGCTGAAGCCAACAGAAGTAGCTTCAACTTTTTATATACTTGAGTATCTAGCTTATGAAGTTCAGTTATTGGACCACTTTAATGTCACAATAGGTAAAGTTATTGTTCATTTGTTATGCTGAAACTGTTATACAGGAATCATATAAAAGCCTGATAAATAAATTATTAGTTAATTTGGAAGTCCTTCTACATTTATCTGTAAAATAAAATCACCTGAATTGTGATTTCATGTGACCTTTATTATAATAAAAAAACAAACCACCCAATGATAGAAACCTGTGCAACAATATTTATTTTGAAATGTGTGTGTGAGCATCTGTGTACTTATATAAATGTTTTCAATAAAGGTGTGATCAAAGAAATGTTTGTGTAACCAAGAATGTAAGCAGTATAACAAGAGAGCTAAAGAGTTGTGAAATAACAGAGGAAAAAGTCAACAGTAGTGACAGTCAGAAAGACATCAGTGAAGTTCTAGACAGGTTAGTACATTAAATAGGCAAAATTACCCATTGTTACTGTCTTATTTAGAAAACGTTTTTGTATACAAGTATTCATTTTCAACCTTTTCTTGTCAGTGATAATTGTTGTCGTGTAGGTCAATGTTTGTATGAGATGGTTTTTCTTTGTATTTATGATATCTAATAACATGAACGATGAAATGTTAAAAAGTTTACAGTTGCTAATTAATGGCATAAATATTGTTTAGAATAGAAAGTACTAAATATAAACAAAAATCCACAGCCAGGGCATTAGTAAAATTATGACAAGTTTGCTGAACTAGTTCCAATTTACCATTTCTCCGTATAATACATGCTGATGTCTAGAACTGGATGATCAGTGGATTCTGATGATCGATTAATCATTGGGCTCATTAATCAGTTACATTCAATTACTCAATTATTCTCATGAGATTCAATGTCCTGTTTTCATTTTGTTACCTTCATTTAATATTTCTAAAAACTTATGATTGAAAGAAAAGAAGAATGTCAAACACGATATATTTGCTATATCCAAGGCCTTTTGTCCAATCCTAGGGGATCATGAGGCCACCAAATTGCTTGAACAATATCATATACATCTTCAACTACAACAGTTTAAGATTAAGTTAATTTTTTAGTCTTAAACTGTTGTACATGAAAATGTATCATATATGTAATGTAGTACAAAACCTTGTTACATCTCTTATCGTTTGTTAATATCCTGGTATACGTTTTTCCCAAGGAACTTTAGCGATACAAGTCCTTTCTTAAATAAAACTAGCTAATTCTTTTGCAATACAACTTTGCAATACACAGAATTTCCACAGTCACTTTAACTTAAAGACACACTATAATTCACAACGATTTACACACTTTACTTACGGCTTGACTTGATTATCTGTCTCTATATCTCCCTATCTGCAATTATGTCTCCACTTTATTTGCTGGGCTTATGTACAAAAATAGAGGGCGTCTGGCAAACACTAGAGTTGCCAGGAACAATCATGATCCTTCTAGAAACTCATGATGTGTTACCAGCATCACGTGACTTCCACTGTCGTAACAACTTGTAACAAACTGAAAATACAATTAATACTATTCCATGAGTTTATATCTACAAATTTTCACAACACTACTCCACTAAAACTAAATAAGCTAATTCTTTGTTAAACATAATTATTCATATGTTTCATATGATAAAACTAGTAAAGATTCTAGTCACAGTGTGATACTAGAGAAACAAAGGCAGTACAATGTTAGTTTAGCAAGAAATGTTACGATGATAATAAATGTCCTCCTTGCTGAAATTAAATGATTCAAATGAAGGAAATCAATGTACTATAAGAATTAATAGTGTATAGCCCATCAAAAATGACAGGTGTTAAGAAAACTCTGTAAAAATTGCTATAAATTAACTAGCAACAATTTTATTTACAATACAAAAATTACATTTTTGTTTCATAATATTTCTTTATACACAGCATTGACAATGTTTACATGTTATTTCTAATGTTAAAAAGCATCCTAAAAGAAAGCAGAAAAATTTTCTGCAGTTTAGTTATTGCTGCATAATACAACATTTTAAAATGTTTTTATATTCCTATTTTTCTATTCATGTTTTAACAAAGTATGTAAATATTAAAGAAATATTTATTTTTTAATTGCGTAATTTAAATACTATGTATTCACACTTATACACATGTAACTAAATATTATCTCACTCTATGGTTAGTAATAGTAGGTCTGTTTGTAGTGTAATTTAAACATTAGGCTTTATATATTTATAATAATATAAATATAATGTTATTTAACTTACTATTGTGTGTTAAAAGAGCCTAAAGTAAGGACATAGTGTGCAATAACTTAAGCTAGGCCCAAGTACATAAAGCTGCTCATGAAACAAAAAATATCAATTCCATATCTAAATCATTTCTGAAATAAACTATTTTGCTCTTATATCACCAAAGTTATCAAAAAATAAAGAATAAAAAATATTTCAAACAAATTAACATGTATATTAGCATTCAACATATACACTATAGTTGGCTTAATAACTATATCAGTTGGTAGTTTTGTTGCTAAGCAATGATGTAAATCGTAGACCATTACCAAAAGAAGGAGATAAAAGAAGATAAAATCAGAAATGTTAATTTCAATTTTTGCTTGTTTTTATGAGTTGTGACACCAGTCGATTAAGTTGAACAACCAAATATCAAAAATAATAATGAGAAATCATAAGACAATATTTTGATTATTCGGATAGTTGAAATAATTGAAAACAGTAATGATTAGAAACACTAATTTTGATTAATTGATTAATTTAGTTGACACTAATGATATATATATGATGCTCATGGGTAATTACTTATATCAGTTAATTGGTTTATCACCTAGTTCTACTAATGTCATGATTAACAGAGTTTGATTCTGTAAAGGTATTTCCTTTCATTGCACTGATTATTCAGCCAGAGCTAGTTATACAAATATTTTGTTAATAAAGCAGTGTGTACACAGAACAGAGTATTTTCTTTGCATGTGGTATGTGGGCATGCAATACATTTTTATCTTCTTATTTTATTGTAGAATGTTTCAGAATTTTTCATTCAATTTGGTGTGTGTGTGTGCACTTTTGGCATAACACATGGTCAAGAAATTCATTAAGTTGATCTCATTCTAAATGCTTTTGTTATTTGTCATTCCTGGAGATAACACTTGGTCTGCCTATGGGAGGTATAGCTGTAAAGTTGTACCATGTGTATGAAGGTTGACAGCAGTGTCCTCCAATGGTAGATCGGGTGATATTTTGAGGTAAAGCCTCTCTTCGAATAACCAGTCAGTGGGTAGCACTAGTTGCTCAGAGTAACTCTGATGTCAACAATTCAACTAAGAATGTACAGACTAGTGAGTCTGGGACATCATCCTTAATGAATGGTCAGTTTGGAAATTAGTCTTAATGGAGTATAACCAGATGATCAATCCATCCCACCAGTAAAGATGACTGTTTGTCATTCAGAAGTTCTGTACACACACTCTTTCTTTGTTTTGTTTAGATAAAGAAGGTATATTGCAAGTGATGTCCAGTCCACTTATTTCTTAGCACAGACTTAGTTAGTTATGACAGAACTCAGTATTACTTTGTGATATATTTTGCCAAAACTCTTATTATATAGTGGACCTACCTGATCTAATATTTCAGGAAATTGTTTTTAACTGAAAATACCACATAAACATATAAAACCATTAATATTTTCAAAATCTAAACATTTGAAATAATTACTAAACAATATTTAATCTATTTTAACTAATAAAATAAATACTCTAAATATAATGTATATATTTTCAAAGATGCTTTGGACTGGTATAGTACTCTGTTTGTAGAGCACTTGAAATGACAAACTGAGAAGTGTACCAGTGTTCATCTACAGAGAAAGAAAATTTTCTGATTGCCTGTTAAATTTCATCCTTTTCTGCTTTTGCAAATAAATAATTTTAGCATGATGAGTGTGAAAAATTAATATCACTTTGAAATGAAAAAGCAACAAATAAAATATGAGTATATCAAAAATCCTAAAATAAAACAGACACACAATATTAAGTCATTAGTCCCATTGGACTAGTGTGTCAAGTCGGCAAACAGTCCAAATGCATTTTGTTCCGGCATGGCCAGGTGGTTAGGGTGCTCGCCTCATAATCTGAGGGTTGTGGGTTTGAATCCCCATTCCATCAAACATGCTTGCCCTTTCAGTTGTGAGGCATTATAATGTGAAGTTTAATCCCACTATTCATTGCTAAAAGAGTAGACCAAGATTTGGTGGTGGGTGGTGATGACTAGCTGCCTTCTCTCTAGTCTTACACTGCTAAATTAGGGATGGCTAGCACAGATAGCCCTCGTGTAGCTTTGCACAAAATTCAAACCAAACAAAATGCATTTCTTACTTGTCTCAGGGTATGAGGCTAGCATTAACCCATTGATTGCTGATTTACCATATAGGGTACAGTCTGCTTCCAACAGTTGAATGTGATTGTGCTGTATATGATGTACCACTTGCAAGAATTTTGTGCATGTTTAGAGTAACTGCAGTCAATTGATTAATATTGTTCTCTAGTACATTATTAAAGACCTTACAAGGATTATGGCTCAAATCAAAAGTTGCATTCTTGAATGCTGATATATCCATGATACTTAAGGCTTGGTAACCAGTGTTTGACCCGAGTTGAATTGCTCTGTGGTTCTTTTTTTTTATTATGTCACTTATTACTTGAGCTGAAATTCTTTTCTTCAAGCTTTATTAAAAACTTTTTGATGAACTGAACAATCTTTTTTTGGAGACTTTGACTTTTGATTGATTTTTACTTAATTTGAGGTAGTTTCTTTTGAGATGATTCGTGAAACTATTAAGCTTGCTTTATGATTTGGTTTGAATATTTTTTTATGACAGATTGGTTCTGTCTGTTAATTTTTGTTTTGACCATACATGTCAGTTTGGATCATACGACTAAAGACTAGAAATTATCTCTCTTGTGAGTCATTGTCTCACTTATACTTCTATGAATTTTCTGATTGGAATGGAATTGTTTCTTTCATGTTGGTTTGTTTCTTCCATGGTTTTGTGAGATCAGTGAGGAATCTAAAACTCATTTGAGAATAAAGTCATTTTACCTTCATGGTCTTGAACTTCCCATGTTCATGGCTACTTAAATTGCTTATATTTGTTTAATTCTTTTACTCCATATGGGGGTTGGGCATTGCCTAATGATTAGTGTGCTTTGACTTTGAATCCAAATATATATGTATGATCTTACAAACGTATATAGGCGTTAAATAGTGATTAATGAGTATTGTATAAAACAAATAAATCACTAACACAAATAACACAGCAGGAAGTAATCAGAACATGGAGATAATTCACAGCGATTCACACACTTTACTTATGGTGACTACTGTTCGCTTGACTCAATTATCTATCTATGCAATTCTATCTTTTTTTTTGCGCTGGCTTTATTTGCCAGGCTAAAATACTAAAAAAGAGGGTGCCTGGAACAAACTAGAGTTGCCAGGAAAATTTATGATCCTTCGAAAAACTCCAGCGTGCATGCTCCCAGCATTGCGTGACTTCCACTGTCATAACAATATTCTGATTCAGGCACATCATTGGCATTTAAGCACCTTATGATGTACAGACTTATTTTATTCTCTCTGAGCTTTATTGCATTGATTTGTTATATGAAATTGTATTGTTCTTCACTCATTCCTACTGTTCTATAGGTTTGGGGTTGTCTGCTCTCTGATAATACAAAACTTTTTAATGTCATAGACTCTCATTCACTGGAGTTATACTGTGAATGTTGATAGCTGTTATTGACATTTGTCTCTTACCTATATCTCCACTACCTTACCTTTCTGGCTTTGTTGTGGACTTACTCATTTAAATTAGGATTTAAGCTGTTCATGTTTTGTAGTGTCATGTATTGGGTTCTAGGACTGTTCTTTTCCAGACTCAAATGATGCTATTACGTTGTTTGCAGTGTTTATGGTGACTTTTTAGATATATTGATAAATCATTGCTATGTGTTGTGATTCTTCTTCAGGCCTAATTTTTGGGTTAGTCTGATTTAGTTAAGTTTGTTCTTCTATTTTCACACACACACAACCTCTTCAGCTCATGTCCTGGCTTCTTGGTTTAATTTTTTAAAGTAAAAGCGCTTTTGTTGAAAGAATAAGATGAATTTCCCTTTTTTGTGAGATTCCTGTTCCTCTTCTTCCTTAGTTGCATACTATTTTCTTCCATATGTTGTTTACCTGTTATTCTATATTGGTTGTTTTCTAGTCTGTACTCAATATGCTGGGCTTTCTGCCTCATTTATTCACTTTTGGTCAGTTCTTACAAGCATTCAATCGTGAACAACATGCTCTCGACAGATAATTTCTGTTGTGTGTTGTCAAGGTTATATATTTTCAGCAGTTCTTTCTTGTTTCACTTGAGTTCCTTGTCTCTTTTTTCTCATTGGTTACATCCTTAAAAGCTTTTTTCCATTTCTGTTTGTTCTTTATAGTTTGTCACCATTCTGTTTGAATTAGTGTAAGTGCTTCTCATATACTTGACAGTGAATAGTTCACTTGTTTTACTATTCAGTTCTATTTAAGGCATAAACCTTAAAGAGCTAAAGAAAGTGATGTTCTTTCTTTATCTCCTCTCCATGGGTTTTTCACTGTTATATGGTTTGTTTTGAGTTTTTAATTATGAATATTCATACTCATTTTTCTGTTAATGTTTAGGCTTTAACAGAAACTTCATGATGCTTTGCAACATTTTTTCTTTATCTTGTTAAATCAGGCTGATGCCAGACATTCTTATTTAGTAACCAAATTCTTACTTCTATTTGGTGGATAACTTATGTGAGAGAAAGTGGATTGATTTGAATGTGTTCTCCTTTTTATTTATGCACTCTTTTGCCACGTTACTTACTCCAGAATCTCGTTTGTGTTAAATGCCAATTTTGAGGTTTGACAGACTGTTTTGACTAAATGTAAATTTTATTTGTTAATTTAATGATTTTTCATGTTTTTCTGAAATTTTTTGTCATGCTGTAATATAAGTTTGATTTGCACTCTTCTCCCTCCAGTGGCTCAGTGGTAATTCTACAAGCTTACAATGCTAAAAATCAGGTTTCAATGTTTATGTTGGGCAGAGCACAGATAGACTATTGTATAGCTTCATGCTTAACAACAAACAAGTAAACATAAATGCTTTCTCTTTAAAGTTTGTCTTGTCCTTGATGAGATTTTCCATAAAAAGTGATCTTGTTTAGCAAGCTTAGAGGTTCCAGACTATCACTTATTTGACTGTAATATTGTACTATACTAATCTGTTTTACTTGTAAGTTAGTATATATTGCCATTTCTGCATTTGCAGTCTAAAAATTAATAACTTGTAAATGTTACCGTATCTCATACATGCATATATTTAAAGTCTAAAGTATGATAACCATTGCATTTTTGTGAGCCTAAAATTAATTTTTTTGTCAATGTATGATTTCAAATGACTATAAAATCTGTACATTAAGAACTGTATTGTATACTTTTACACAAGTAACTATTGGCCTAAAAGCTTGGTTTCACTCATGCTTGTTCTACAAACTACACTGATTTTGTGACTCAAGGTTGTTATGTATTTACCTTTTATCCTTATATTATCTTATCATAAGCTGAAATTTGTGTTTATATTCTAGGCCAATTTTCATAGCTTTGCACAGCTATGTTTTTGTTAATTTATTTTATTACAAGAAATACACATTCTTGAATAGCAACAAATACAATAACAGGATTAATTACACTATGTGCTAATAAAATTTGAGAATAAAACATTTTATATATCATGAAATCTGATGTAATATGATATAATTATGTTTATCTTCCTGTATGCTATTCTTAAAAGATATGTAGATACTCCTTTTGGACATTATATTCACTATTACCCACAGAAATTTCAATTCCCTCTAAATTCATGTCAGGGCCAAGAACACCAAAAAACTCGATTAGATTCCAATTACCATTGAGAGTTTTTTAGAGGAAAACAGAAATGTTAAAGTAATTATCAATCCAAGTGTTGCACTATGTTGTCAATATAAATTGTCATATATACCCGTGATATTAGTGAAGATAAAATTTCTTTCTTAATTCACCACTAAATAAATTAAAATGTAATTTCTAAAAGCATTGAATAATCAGATTTTATGAACTGTTTTTTAAGATAACAAAGAAACCCATAAAATATGTGTATTTCCTTTATTCTGTATAAAAAGGAAACAAAACCATGATATAATTGGATCATTTAAAGGCAGTTGATCAAAGAGAGAGAGACTTCTGAAATAATAACCAAAAGCTTAGATATTTACAGTCAATATAAGGAAAAAGAGAGCTCTATGCTGAATAAATTACAAAAAATGAAATATCAGCTTTCATATGATATATTTATTAATTTGTTAATTCTAGAGGTTTAAAAGTTGTAAAAATAAATGTGCATTTAGTTAAATTTGGAGTTTTTCACACCCCATCCTAGAAAATTCAGTTTTCAAACTGTTTGAGCTAGAAATAAGTAATAACTGTGAACAAAGCTTGATATATATATATATATATATATATATATATATATAGATAGTGGTAGGTAGTTATAATTTATTTTATTACTAACTAAAAACTAAAAAACTAATAGTAGGTAAAGGTAAAACGAAAGTAAGTAATTACGTAG